CCTCCCATTTCTCCCTCCCTCCACTCTCTCCCACCTCTTTCACTCTCTCCTTCCCTCTCTTTCCTCCCTCCCTCTCTCCCTTCCTCCCCCTCTCACTGCCCCTCCCCTTAGCTGTACATAATGATATAAATATCATTAATGTTTACATTGACTTGCCATGTACATTTATTGACCCGTTGCACCCCGTAATTAAATTACAAGCCTTTAGGGAGATAACACTCATGAAAATAATGATTATTGTCTAAATATTTACACGCTTTCTTGCCCATAGCTCACGTATCACTGATACTACCCTTTTGTCGTGCTATGTCGGAATGACCCGCAAAAAAGTGTCTTTATTTGGACAAAGTCTCAAACTTTTCTCTGAGTGTACATAATCAGGTCATGTATTGGCTTCAGTTATTAAAGAAAGGAATAAATTTCTTGTAGAATGTGACCGTGTCGATCATAGCAACAATAGCGATGCACTGGAAGAGATTTGTGACAGCCTATTACAAATATAGCCTATATAGCTATAGCTATACCTATTACAAACAGCCTATATAGCTATTACAAATAAATGTTCGTAATTGATTTATTTTATGGCAGAGCTGTCGTAAAAATGATCAGAATTGTCCTTTTTTCCTGCTATGTATACAAATGAATTGGGGAAGTTTCAACACAAACTTTCTATTTGAAATTAAGTTCCTACAAGTTTCAATATTCATGATAAACTTTCTTACTTTTGTTATTAAATGGCAAAATTCTGCGCAATTTGATTGGCATTTTTTTCAGCAGCTAGAACAATAGAATTATTATAAATAACACATTGCCCAAACGTTAACTCCTTGTGTAAATTGTAACATGTAAGAATATTTTTAGTTTGCATTTAATTTAAGGATGTACACAATTTTCTATCTCAAGAAAGTTGCTTTTTCATACCTGCTCTTATTTTCTTTTATCCCCGTCGTAAAAACCAACTTATTGAGCCACGTCTTGTCAATAGAATAGAATAGAATAGAAGTGAAAAATAGTGAAGTATATGTAGTATAAAATAGTGAATAGTGAAGAAATAGGCCCATGGCCTGTTGCCGATTCTTGAACTTTTCGTGTCTTGATTCTCAAGGGATCCGGCCTTTGGAACCCGATCTTTCCATAACTGACGATTGATTGAGATAGCTGCTGGACTTATTGCCTGGTTCGTAATTTGCTAGGCATTTTAAGACTGAACATATGCTCCTGCATCTGTCTCTTATACACATCTCCTTGGATGTTCATACTCGGAGCGTCAACGATGCTATCAGGGAGGCTGTTCCACATGTCGGTGACTCGAAGCGAGAAGAAATGTTGTCGCATGGATGTGTTCCAACGCTGTTTTTTTAGTTTATAGCCGTGGCCCCTGGTGTTGGTTCTTGTTTCAAATTCTAGTAATCCNGTTCCACCAGCAGCTGGAGACCTGTTCCACCAGCAGCTGGAGACCTGTTCCACCAGCAGCTGGAGACCTGTTCCACCAGCAGCTGGAGACCTGTTCCATCAGCAGCTGGAGACCTGTTCCACCAGCAGCTGGATGAACTTCCACCAGCAATACCAAAATTTTCAACCGATTCACCAAATCAAATCCGTAGTGAACGTTGAATTGACTCATAAAATGATGGCTGGTGGGATTATTATTACTATTCTACGAATCGATTATCCTGGCGTCTTGTTTCAAACGAACTTCGAGGACACGTTACATATAAGTTTATTACCAAGCAAAAAATAAAGACACGAGGAAGGATTAGAACGGACAAAATAACTAAGCAAGAGATTCGTATGCCCTATGAAAAAGTTCTTCAGGCGTCGACTAAACACCGACAGAGGAGCCGATGTTACGGAAGCCGGCAGACTGTTCCAGGTTCTGGCGGGGACGGGGCGCATGCCGGAGGCCAGTATTGCCAAACTTTACACTTGGTTCATATTTTTTCCGAAGGTAAGAACGCTAGAGGGCATAACGGCCTATGAAGTCAAGTGCTCAAAGCTATAGCGCCGGATGTCCTGAGCCACAAAATAAGCTTGCTAAAGGTAAGTAATGCCATACTGCATGTGGCCAAACCTACACAAGTTTCAACATTTCTCCACCCAAAACAAACCTGAGCGGACCTAAACCAACATCATTGGGTGTGAGAAGTTAGAAAGGCGGTCCAAGTGTGCTGGTAGAGCCAGTCATTGGCTGCAAGAACGCTGTGAGCCGGGACAGCGTGAATATGTTAGGACAGAAGAGGTTAGACCGAAGTAGGTACAGCCGGATGAGGAACTGCCTACTTATGAGCGAGCATGCTTAAGCAGCGGCTGAAGGCCTACGGCGCTATAATATTTCGGCAGTGTGCCGCTTGTCTGGCTTCAGGGCTTATTTAAGAGTGAAATTTGTGGCCCACGGCTGCGCCCCTGCGGTGGCGACCAGTGAACGCCGCTGCCAGGGATGGAAAGCAAATTGCATTGAATTTTACTGGGCTAATAAAATCTGAGTCGGCTCGAGGAATCGGTTCTTCCACGATAAGGATAATGGTTGCCTAAAAGATGTCATATTAAACTCCGAATCTGTGAAGATTATTAAGAAATTCCATGATAGGAAATTTTCAGTATGTAACAACCACAACGTGAATTTTTCTGCCTGGAAATTTATTCATGTCAAATGCAAAAGTGAGTATGTCTGTTTTTTTTATATATATTAGCCTGTGAATTTGAAACAAAAATTGAATATAAGTTTGCTCTGCTAGTAATTTTGTAAAAAAATTTGAGGAGCCAACATTTCAGCGGATGTGGCGTGTGAACAGAGAAGATAACAGAGAAAAAATTTCAAAAATTATCGCGAATTTGTCGAACATAATTTGAACGACTCCCAGGCAGAATATCTCCAAAATGTAAGGCGATATAACATAGTGATATATAGCATTTGATTCTTTATCGGATTTTGTTTCGGAATTTATTGTCAGTCAGCACAACATGGCGACTCTCACTTGTAAATAGTAAACATTGGCGAAAGGGCATGAGTGAATTGCTTGTGACATTAAATATTTCTTATTATTTACGTATTTTGAAACATTCCGGTGAGTGAAATTTAATTTTTATCAGAGACAATCTACTACATCGTAAGTTTTTGGATAAAAAGATAACATTATCCTATATTTAGATTGTACCTAATTTGTTAATTCATCTCCAATCTTCAGGAATATAACAGAAAATCCCTTCTATAGGCCTTGTAAAATTGATTTTATGTACCACAAATCATGTTTATAATCATTTGACTTATAGTTATTTGTAACATTAGAGGCATAGTGGATGAATTTGGTTAAATATTCAATAGAATAGGTATCAAGTCCATCCCCAATCCAATATGAAATATTAGGTAGAATTGTTTAGAAATTACATGTAGAAATGATTTTCCCCGCAGTTAAATTTTAAAAATTGCAAGCAATTTGCAATATTGTATAGTAATTTCAAAAAATTGTGGATATAAATAATTGTTTCACAACTCACAAGTGATTTTAGAAAATCTCGCAACTCTGCGTGATCTTCAACAAAACGTTTAGATTCACTTGTTTACATTGTGATGATTACGTTCTGTAGGACATTTTGGTGGGAACAGTAAAGCAATGCGGATTCTGGAAGTTGAAAATTGTATTAAATGACATATTTGCAAAGTGCAAAATGCAATTTTCATTTATGCAACTGCATAAACAAAAGTTTATGAACAATAAAAAAAAACTAACGCACGCACAGACATGCCGATTACATTGTTAGACGCGTCTAAAAGTCAGCTTTAGAAAGCATTAATAAAAGAAAAAAGTGAAATTTTTCGATTTTTAGTGAGGTCGGTCCCCTTAAAGGAACAGGTATATTTGGCCTGTTGTCATGGCACTTTTGTCTTCTGCCTTCAATGGAAATGATCTATTCTATTAATTAAACCAAACCACAACTGAATAGAAAATCCAAAGCTAGTGTGGAAATCTGGACAAGTAATACATTTTAATAATCTCATGCTTATGTAAGTAATGTAACAGAATAAGACTGAATCTTGAAATAATTTTCTCAAAATGAACTGGGACAATTAAGAGTTGAGACAAGAAATTGCCATGACATAAATAACAGGACAGAGGATAAAATTTGTTCTGAATAAACTTATGAACTGGGACTTTGAAACTGGTGTCCTGGCAATGGCAATTATGAAACAATATGAGACAGCTGGAAATGAAATGAGAATTAACATAACAAGACAAGATACAGCTTGAAGGCTTGAATATATGAGACAAAACGAGACGTTTTGAACAAGCAGATTATGGAATAACAACATAGCTCCTGACTGTTAATAAGCAGTTGCCAGTCATTTGCAGAGTTGGCAATGTATGGCTGAATATTGAGTGAATGATGTTTCTGTTTGTCCTTTGCCTTAAATTGTACAAGTTCAGTAGTACATGTTCCAGACAAGTTGAGGTGTGCATTGCAAGTTATCAACACATTGTCTATTAGTCTTAATGCTTTTCACTAGTTAACTGAAAATTTTTTTTACAATTTTTGCTATGAATAACTTAAAAAAATACTATGCCAACTATTACAGAAAAGTCTCAGAATTTTAAAAAATACCAGCAAAGTTTTTGTTTTCATATGAAATGATTAGCCTATTCTTTTGTGGCAAGTCAAGATGTCCCACTCCATGTTTTGGTCATATTGATTTCACAACAAATATATTTGATTCACACTGAGATATATATGATGGAAAGTTATTTTATAATTTTGTTAGATTTAAAATAGTTAGATCTAAAATATCGAGCAGAGTGAGATCATTGTGAGACATAAGAAAAAATTGGTTTCTTGGCATAAAGGCCCAGGTATATTTGAAATCTTCATCAGAAATTATGCAACTATTAATTAACTTCAACTGAATTTATATTAAAGGCTTTAACACTACATATCACTTGACATACCCGACATCAGGAATTCCATCCTGATCCAAGCAGCTTTGTAGCTGTCGTTAGGCAATCAAACCCCACAACTCATAGTTTTAAAAAATATACCCTATACCATTTTATTGATAAGTGGTCAGTTAAGTTCAGTATATATAATATAATATAGTGCAAAAATAGAGATTTAAAAAAATTGAATTTTTTTTTTCAATCATGTAGCTTCTAAGTTACATATTGGTAGTGATATGGAAATATCACGGCTTAAAAGCCATGAATTTTGGTTTGATCAAGAATTTTTTGGCTTGCAAAAATGTAATTTCCCAAGGAAATTTGAAATGAATGCAGATGTGTTCCTACAGTTACTGCAGCCTGATTAAATGAAAATTTTACACTTTACAACTCTGCATGATGTGCATGATAATAATTTGTTCAATTTAGATTATGCTGGAACATTTGATGTTGCTCTTGTTATGAGAAATGAGTGAGACTCAAATAGCAATTGAATTTTTGCCAATAAGTGAGTCATATTGACCCAGCTACATAGCATATCAGTTTAAATTGTTCAACATGAGATTTTTAGCGCATTTTCTCATTTATGGAAGAAAGACAATATTGTGCTTGTCATGTCTAGCCGTCCATCTGTCTGTCTGTCTCTGTCTGTCTCTCTCTGTCTGTCTGTCCATCTGTCTCTGTCTGTCCGTCTGTCTGTGTCTGTCTGTCTCTCCCTCTGTCTGTCTGTGTCTGTCTGTCTCTGTCTCTGTCTGTCTGTCTCTGTCTTTCTGTCTCTGTCTTTCTGTCTCTGTCTTTTTTGTCTCTGTCTGTCTGTCTCTATATGACCAACTGTTTCTGTCTCTCTGTCTGTCTGTCTGTCTCCGTCTGTCTGTCTGTCTCTGTCTGTCTGTCTCTCTGTCTGTCTGTCTCTGTGTGTCTGTCTCTCTGTCTGTCTGTCTCTCTGTCTGTCTGTGTCTGTCTGTCTGTCCATCTGTCTGTGTCTGTCTGTCTGTCTCTCTGTCTGTGTCTGTCTGTCTGTCCATCTGTATGTGTCTGTCTGTCTGTCCATCTGTCTGTCCGTCCATCCGNACACATAAAAACCCTGTAGAGGTTTATTATTATTTATTTATAATAAATAAATAATTTATAATAGGTGAATAAATAATTTATTATTATTTATTCACCTAGCCCTGGGATAATTAAAAAATTATTCTTAAATGTAAAATGCAAAGGAAAATTTATAATTTGGATAATGGTTTTAGAAAGAATTTTGACCCTGCTGGCTACAGTTGGGTGGACATTAATCATAATGGAATTGGACAGACGGGGAGACAGAGCCTCTGAATTTTACTCGTGTATATTTAGAAGTTTCAGAGTTTCACGCTTGCTCACTCATGTTATAACCTATTTGTGTATCTATTAAATTAAAAACTCTTATTCAGAGAATTTTCATTTTCACAAGAAATAAAATGGATTTTGGGGGTTCAATCCAAAGCTGAAGAACCCCTGACAAACCCTGTAACCCCTTCCGCACATTTTAGTTACTTGAAACAGGGATTTTACTCATTGCCTGCCAAGAAATGCTTTGGCCCAAAAAAATGCTGCATAACATTTTTAACGTCATATTCAACTACACCCCTGCATCCCCTTTAACCCCCTGCCATCCCTGACAACCCCCTTAACCCCTGCCTCCCCTGTAACCCCCATAACCCCCTGCCATCCCTGACAACCCCCCATAACACCTGCCCCCCCCGCAGGTATGTGGGGTTACCTGCGCAGTGGCAGGGCATCGTGAGCAACGCCCTGGACCGGGGGGGCCGCCCCCAGCCTCTCGTAGACCCCCGACACATCACACAAGTCGAGGTATGGGGCCTCATCACACCATCACATTTATCTAATTAAAAAATTGTTCTTAAATGTAAAATGCAATGGAAAATTTATAATTTGGATAATGGTTTTAGAAAGAATTTTGACCCTGCTGGCTACAGTTGGGTGGACATTAATCATAATGGAATTGGACAGACGGGGAGACAGAGCCTCTGAATTTTACTCATGTATATTTAGAAGTTCTCAGAGTTTCACGCTTGCTCACTCATGTTATAACCTATTTGTGTATCTATTAAATTAAAAACTCTTATTCAGAGAATTTTCATTTTCACAAGAAATAAAATGGATTTTGGGGGTTCAATCCAAAGCTGAAGAACCCCTGACAAACCCTGTAACCCCTTCCGCACATTTTAGTTACTTGAAACAGGGATTTTACTCATTGCCTGCCAAGAAATGCTTTGGCCCAAAAAAATGAGTCTGTCTGTCTCTCTGTCTGTGTCTGTCTGTCTGTCCATCTGTATGTGTCTGTCTGTCTGTCCATCTGTCTGTCCGTCCATCCGTCTGTCCATCTGCCTATCTGTCCGTCCGTCCGTGACCTCATGTTTTCATCGACGAGAAAATGAGCTCTCTGTCACTCACTGCAGCGGGTACTGAGTTATATTTTTTCCAGTTCTGTGCGTCTCCCCGCCATGTTCGGCAAGAAGAAGAAGAAGCCGCAGATCTCGTGTCCGAGCAACTTTGAGCATCGCGTGCACACCGGCTTTGACCAACAGGAGGGCAAGTGAGTATATAAATAAATAAAATGCTTTTAAAAATTAATTTTCAAAGACAACACTTCTGAAGAATCCAGTGTCTTGGATGTTCTAGTTTTATTTTGAAATGTTAAAAAAATTAATTTTCAAAAAATTTTAGTATATAAAAATTTTGTAAATTTCAAAATTATTTATTCTGTCAATTGATTCAAGCATTGTCTCCAGCTTTACACAAGTGTGCAAAATTACAGATTGATTGTACATGTAAGTGTGACAAATATCAATTATAAGATTTGTAGCAGACAGACAAACAAACAAGAAGTGAAGTAAAAGAGAAGTCTTGTAATGTATACATAATTCTTATATTTATATATACATATATATCAATATTAGTATTATATGGAAGAAGTTTCTTGTTGAACCAAGAAAAGTAGTTGCTGTGTCCTGCCTTTTCATCTATTAACGTCATCTGAAGAATTTTTTGCTTCCTGAAAATTGCAATATAATGAATTCTTTCGTCAAATATCAATAAGTACATAAATATCACATAAATATATACATGAATATCTATCTATCTAGGAGAATAACAGTAGAGCCTCATCAACCCTTCACAGTATATATATTATGTATTATTTCGACTCCTCTTGTATGTTTAAATATCCCTCCTACCCTTGTGTATCAATTTTTCTCTTAACCTTTCATATAAAAATTAAAAATTTTATCTTCATTTTCTCCCTCGAATGTATACATATAACCCTCCCCCATATCTAACTCTCCTCACCCCCTGTATATGAACATACCCACACACATGAACACCCTGTAGAGGTTTATTATTATTTATTTATAATAAATAAATAATTTATAATAGGTGAATAAATAATTTATTATTATTTATTCACCTAGCCCTGGGATAATTAAAAAATTATTCTTAAATGTAAAATGCAAAGGAAAATTTATAATTTGGATAATGGTTTTAGAAAGAATTTTGACCCTGCTGGCTACAGTTGGGTGGACATTAATCATAATGGAATTGGACAGACGGGGAGACAGAGCCTCTGAATTTTACTCGTGTATATTTAGAAGTTTCAGAGTTTCACGCTTGCTCACTCATGTTATAACCTATTTGTGTATCTATTAAATTAAAAACTCTTATTCAGAGAATTTTCATTTTCACAAGAAATAAAATGGATTTTGGGGGTTCAATCCAAAGCTGAAGAACCCCTGACAAACCCTGTAACCCCTTCCGCACATTTTAGTTACTTAAAACAGGGATTTTACTCATTGCCTGCCAAGAAATGCTTTGGCCCAAAAAAATGNGCATTCATCACATTTGTCTGCATCGCATTCATCACATTTGCCTTCAAATATACTATAAATTTATTGAAATAAACTTTTCAAATCAAGTTGAAAGTTCAAATAAGAGTGACGTGACGAACTTATTTGGCTTGTATGAATGATATACATTTGTTGGCTTGATGTCTTGATAATTTATATTTGTGTCATAATTACGTCTTAATTTAAATCTATGTATCTTATTATGTAGTATTTTTTTGCCCCCATCTACCTCTATATATATTAGAATCTATATCTAGATTCTCTATCTATCTATATCTCTTTAATTCTTAATGTCTTCCTGTAATTGAATGATCATCATATTCGAAAATATAAAGTATATATTATAAAATTAATATCCTATAAAATTAATTATCAGTTTTACACCCTATGCCATCAGAACACCACCACTTTAACATTAATGCTAACGACTCATTAATCTTTTCCTTTGATCTTAATCGCTTATTAATCATTTCCTATAATCTAATGATAATTAAAATATCTAAATAATTAAAATGATGACCCCCAGCCGGGCCACCCCCCCAGCGTGGCCCGCAGCAACTCGCTGAGGTCAACGAGTCCGCCCCCCCCGCGGGGGCAGCAGCGCCCCCCACCGCCCCCCACCCTGCACGAGGGCAGGGAGCTGCAATATCCCCACGAGGTGAACCCCTAACTTAATATTTACATATATCTATATTTGTATTATATATATTGTTGCTTTTCACCTGTCCCTCCTTGTCACTTCGTCTCTTTGAGATGCTAACTAATTGAGATGCTTATTAATTTGAGACTGAATAATTGAGACGTTCCGCCCCTTGTGAGCGATGATTGATTCAAGGTTTTGAATAATTGAGACCTTCACCCTTGCTGGCGATGTTATCTTCTGACCTAATAAATAGCTCGATAGCTGAAGCGCTAGCAAACCATTCTACTACTACTACTACTAAATATTACTTCCTACTAACCATTCTACTACTACTACTACTACTAAATATTACTTACTACTAACCATTCTACTACTACTACTACTACTACTACTAAATATTACTTACTACTAACCATTCTACTACTACTACTACTACTACTACTAAATATTACTTACTACTAACCATTCTACTACTACTACTACTACTACTACTAAATATTACTTACTACTAACCATTCTACTACTACTACTACTACTACTACTAAATATTACTTACTACTAACCATTCTACTACTACTACTACTACTACTACTAAATATTACTTACTACTAACCATTCTACTACTACTACTACTACTTCCCAGTAAAAATTTACAGACGCGGCAGCTTCTGATTTGGATAAACCAGAAGCTGGGGCGACTCTAAATTTTGTTGGGGTTATTAATTAAAGAAACTTTAAAATAATAGTTTTGTATAATATCTTAATATAAGAAGTAATTACATGTCTTAATAAGTTATAACTTACCATAGCCCATTCACTCAAGCTGGGGCGACTCTAAATTTTGTTTGTGTTATGATCTTCATCATTCGTACATGTGTCTGCTAAGCTTCCTACATGTCTAGTGATGTTCATATTTTATGCAGCATCTGTAAACCGTTAATTATTTATTAGGTTATTGCCAATATCCTTCTCTGGCTACTTAATAAAAGCATAATTAATTTAAGAAATAAATTGTATGAAAATTCGTACAAAAGCTTTTTGGTTTTCACTTTTCATGGTCAATTTTTTTTTTGGTTTTCAGGGTCAACCTTTTTGGTTTTCAGAATAAATCTTTTTTTATATTCAGGGTAAATTTTTTTGGTTTTCAGGGTCAATCTTTTTGGGTTTTCAGGGTCAATCTTTTTTGGTTCTCAGGGTCAATATTTTTTGGTTTTCATAGTCAATCGTTTTGAGTTTTTAGCGTCAATCTATTTTTGTTTTCAGGGTCAAATTTTTCGGTTTTCATGGTCAATCTTTTTTTTCAGGGTCAATATTTTTTTGTTTTCAGGGTCAAATTTTTCGGTTTTCATGGTCAATCTTTTTTTTCAGGGTCAATATTTTTTTGTTTTCAGGGTCAATATTTTTGGTTTTCAGACTGAATCATCTCGGTTTTCAATCAATCAACGCAATTTTTTTTTGTTCTCAGGGTCACCATCTGCGTACACCATCTGGTCCCTCCTCAGCTGGCTCCTCTAATGCTTCTGGCCACCAGCAGCAGCAGTTCAATGGACATCCCCAACAACCCCCGCATCCCCAGCAACCCCAACATCCCCAGCAACCCCAACACCGCGTCATGCACCACGCCTCTAACCCCTCCCTGCACTCCATGGGTCCCCACAATCCCCAAAATTCCCACTTAGGGAGGCTCAATTCCCACCATGCTTCTAATCCCCACCTGGCCCATCCCCAACATGGGGGTTCTGGGCCACAACATGTCGGACCACATCCCCAACATGTCGGACCACAGCGTTTGTCTTTTATTTTTATGTTCATTGGCTTGTTTGTTATCGCAGTTTGTTATCGCTGTTGTTCTTTACAGAGAACGGGCCACCAACACCCTCTCCCCCACATCCTGCCCCCTCGCCCCCCGTTGAACCCTCAGCAACAACAGCAATATCAACAGCGACCGCCTTTTAACCATCCGCATCAACGGCATCCACCCCCCGCTCACCTTCAACAACAGCAACAACAGTTCCAACAGCAACAGTACAATAACAGCAGCATGCCTCAGTTGTCACCAAATAATAACGGATTTAATCACCAGCAAATGATGCATCAACAGCAACAGCATCACCTAAACCAGCAGCACCAACAACAGCACCAACAACAGCTACAACATCAGCACCAACAGCAGCAATACCAACAACAACAACAGCACCTTCAGCAACAGCAGCACCAACAACAGCAAGAGGCGTCTGGCTTAACCCCGCCTTCGGAGTCTGAGATGAAATCTTTCGGGGTGAAGGGGATTGAAGGAACTCAGGAAACTCCCCAGAATCGTGGGCCTCCATCCCCAGGAAATCATGCTTTCCATCCCCCACCTCCAGGTCCCCCTTCAGGAGGAAGGGTGACCCAAGGCCCCCCATCTGGAGGGGATATGGGGGATCAGAACGGCAACCCCCACCAGAACGGAGGGGCGCGACCAGGCATTCCATCCCCAGGGAGTCAGTCTGGGGGTAGTGGGAGCTCCGTCCCTCCCTCTGGGGGAGGAGCTGGCACCCACAACCACCACCGTCTGTCCCACGACCAGTTCAGGGCCGCCCTGCAGATGGTTGTATCCCCCGGGGACCCACGGTCGAGGTTATCAAACTTCAGCAAAATCGGGGAAGGCAGCACCGGGATCGTGTGCCTTGCCACGGACAACGCCACGGGACTTAAAGTAGCCGTCAAAAAAATGGACCTCCGTCGTCAACAAAGACGAGAACTTCTCTTCAATGAAGTGGTCATCATGAAGGAGTACCAACACCCGAATATTGTCCAGACACATGACTCGTTCCTGGCGGGGGACGAACTGTGGGTGGTGATGGAGTACCTAGCGGGTGGTGCCCTCACTGACATGGTGTCACAGTCCCGACTGGACGAGTGCCAGATCGCCACGGTGTGTCAGCAGTGCCTTATGGCCCTGTCCTTCTTGCACTCTCAGGGCGTGATCCACAGGGATATAAAAAGTGACTCGATTCTTTTGGATTTGGACGGACGTGTCAAACTTTCCGATTTCGGGTTCTGCGCGCAAGTTTCCCCGGATTTGCCAAAACGGAAAAGTTTGGTGGGCACACCGTACTGGATGGCACCGGAGGTGATCAGCCGTCTTCCTTATGGACCTGAGGTGGACATATGGAGCCTGGGGATCATGGTCATGGAGATGGTGGACGGGGAGCCGCCCTTTTTCAACGAGCCGCCCCTGCAGGCCATGAGGCGGATCAGGGACATGCCGCCCCCCAAGCTACGCAACGCCCACAAAGTCTCCCCGCGACTCCAGAGTTTCTTGGACAAGATGTTGGTCCGGGACCCCAGCGAGCGGGTGTCTGCAGCAGACCTCCTGCAGCATCCCTTCATGAGGATGGCATCCACGTCTGCAGTCCTGCAGCCGCTCATCGCCGCCCTGCAGCGTCCTGCTTAGAACTCCTGGCATGTCTGCAGGCACGCAGGCTGTGACGGTTGCCAGCTTACAAACAAGATGGTGACTGACATGATACAATCTAGATGACGGCTGATATGATTCAAGATGGCGGCTAACATGATGCATTAAAGATGGCGGCTGGCATGATGCATTAAAGATGGCGGCTGAAATGATGCATTCAAGATGGCGGTTGATATTAAAGATTGCGGTTGATATTGTACAAGATGGCGGCTGACATTATTCAAGATGGAGGCTGACATTATTCAAGATGGCGGCAGATACGATTCAAGATGACAGCTGATATGATTCAAGATGGCGGCTGACATGATTCAAGATGGCAGCTCATATGATTCAAGATGGCAGCTGACATGATTCAAGATGGCAGCTGACATGATTCAAGATGGCGGCTGCGGTGCTAAATTAAAGATGGCGGATACAAATATTTACACAATAGCATTCACAAAAGGCCTTAACTTAGTGCCTGGTCTAGTATTAAAGAGTTATATTTTGCACATTTCTATTGAGTTAATCTTTGACCATCTCGTTAATTGTAATACTGCGTTAATTGAGATGAATTTTACCTCACTGTATTTAGTGTAAATAACGACATGTTGACGGCTCGAACTGGGGATTATATGAATGTATGTTAATGTATTAATGTATG